CGCGAACTGCCACATATGCTACAGAAAAATGTAAGTTTTCCATATAGATAAATCTGTGTCCCATACAAGGTGCTACAACTCGAAAGTAATTTGTGCACATTTCAATAAAATATATATTTGAGCATACATACACTATGAAGTTTGTTATTGATGAATAAGAATTGTTAATAATGATGAAAACTGACTATTAGATTTTAAAAAAATATATATTGGCCCGACGGAAGAAGAAAGTAGCACTATCCTTAATAAAGTCTTCTCGGGCTATCAGCCGTGTCAGTTGGTGACCAATCGCCGACGTTTCGAGGACCATTTCTGTCCTCATTTTCAAGGCTGTTGACTGTGTGGCTAGTAGCACGACTGATAGCCCGAGAAGACTTTATTAATGAAAGCCGCTGTGAAAGCTTCACATCATATAGAAATATCCTGTTCTGAAGCGTTGTGATCTTGATCTGATATCGCCATATAGTATTTTTTTTAAACACTGTCCTGCCCATTAGCTGGACAGGGAAGGTAGAAGAAATTGGCTCCTACTCTATGGTGCCTGCCAACCCTCGTTAAATACTTCTTTAATCTACCGGACCACCTTGTGTCTGTAAATGGAAACACATACAACCCCCGAAAGCTTCATGTCATTTGTTAAGTACACAAATGGCAATTCATGTCATTTGTTAAGTACACAAATGGCAATTTTCGGCGAAACCCCCTTGACGATAGTTAATTTGTGTGTAATTGTAAATTCACCGAAACTTATTGTGTGTTTAAATTCATTCCAACCTGAAGATGGCTGTCTTCTGGGATGTTGCGCCGAAACTTCTGATTGGTAGATATTGACCGCCTTGACGATAGAGGCAGTAAACACCTTTGAAACATCAGTCAGTATCAAATGACACGGGGCAACATCCCAAAAGACAGCCATCTTCATATTCGTCGCCGTGATAACCTGAAATCTCATTCATTCTAATCGGTCTTTTTTATAAGGTGTCGGGCCTGTAGAAATGTTTAAGTAAACACACGTTTTGTTGAGAGCAGTCACTGGTCGCTTTAAACAGGTTTATCTGGACTTAGAAACGGCTGTACATTGTATAGATAGTATGACTGTCAGTTTCAAATCCAGTACTCGGCTTGATAGCTCAAGGTCAGCATGTTTGTCTCGAGTTCGGAAGGTCCACAGATCGAATTTCGAGACTGTCGCATCCATAAATGATCGCTTTTGCCAAGGACAGGTAGTACACTTGTGGATGGTTATCTTCTGGTTTGCGACGCTGTGTGGTCTTGTGAGTGGTTAGTAAAATTTCGGAGAAATATATCATCGGCATTTTCACTGCAGTAAGAACTTCAGTCTCAGGATAGTTACTTAAAATTAACGTAGTTTATGCATTTGTAATCGGAACACCCTAAACGTGCTTGCAGCTTTATATTTTAATAATAGCTCTATCGTATTACAACTTTTTATAAATTAGTGAATAACAGTGATTTATAGTGATACGTATTTGACAGATATGTTGACTTGGTAAAGCTAGATGGACATCCGGGATAAGATTCAAAGTGGAGCATTGATATCCTTCTCTTGTCGAAATTGTACGTCGCGGTTGAGTTTATTAAGGCTGATATTTTGAATTTCGGAAGTCAGGGATCTGAATTTCGACCCGGAAACAAGCTGTTGTCTCCGAGGCTTTTCGTAGTTCTCCTCAGTCTCTAAAATACATTAAAATAGGCTGCAATTGTTGTCTTAAACATTCATTCAACTTTACAATCCATCCTAACATTTTAAGATTTTTAAAAATACACCTACGATCAATCAGTAAATCTAGCGTGTTAAAGAGTGTTTTCCCTGAACCACCTGCGGTCAGGGCGTATAGCGACCTCTCGCTGCCCTGTAATGCCGAGGGTGACGAGCGACTATGTGTAACTTCACGCATCGTAAACGCTTATGACAGTCAATAACGGGGGCAAATTTAACGTATACATTTTTCGATATAGGCGTATCTGTTAGAAAAGAAAGTGTTAAAGATAATTTGGGCCAAAGAGAAATGGAATAATTAATAACTAGAAAATTGCTTAATAATTCATGCCTTTTCTTTAAAACTGTCACTTATGAGAGCTTCTGTGCTGTTTTAGAATGTAAAATGAAACAGTGGATTTAAAAAAAATGGACTGGACATGTTAACTGGCCCGATAGAACTATTTTTACGCCTTAATGACAGTAGGATTTATTTTGAAAAGTTTCTGTGGACTTTCAATTTCAGCAGATACGGTCATGACACTTATAAAACGTCATGGACTTGACGTTAACAAACTGTTTAGCAGAGTGCTGAAACGACGTCAGATTATTGCACATGTAATGGGTGAAACCAAGATCACTTTATTTTGCTGTGCTCTGTTCAGAGTTACCAAGCTGGGTAATACGCATCGAAGTATCGTAGTAGACAGTGTTTATTCAAAAGTAAGTTCATTCATTGGTGGTTACTGACAAATTAAGGATTTAATAATTTTGAAATCGGCTGAGAAAAAAAATCGAGGGATATTTTTTGTACAAATTACAAGCTGCTGAATTATTTGAGTTTCTTTTGGATATTTTTTGTCGTGTCTGCTTGAAGCACAGAGAAAGAGAGGAATAGAGAATAGTACACGAATGTTCTGTGTATGTAGCCTTCTTTTACTTCAGCACATCATCAATTAATTATTGTGACACGAGGAAGAACAGTTTACTTTGGAATAACAGTGCGATACGGCTCCATAAACAAAGGATCTTGTATATACAAACAAGCGGAGATTCAAGGAAACATGCATTTGCCTTGTCATTAGAAAGGAAAGAGAACAAGACGGGGGAACAAAGAAAGAATGGATTGACAGAGAAAGAAACAAAGAACGTGCGTTAGATTGAGCTGGCACCGGACAGGGACTAGTAGTGTTTGCTGTTTATATGAGTTCTGTCAGTCATCGTGCATAGACACTTATACATATATTTTGGAAGTCCGTCGTTAAAATCTCGAAAACTGGTTTTCTTACCCCCCTCAAACAAATTCTCCAACACGAACCTTAGAATAGGCCATGACATATTTCTTCTACCTCCTTCCAAATACACTACTAGGTTCTGACGATTGTCATGAACTATACAGTTGATAAACCTTCGCGAAATAAATCGATAAGACTGAAAAGAAAGAAAAAACTCAAAACAGTTCAAACTAAATTTGAATTCGATATTCCAATTAACACCTTAAATCACGAAACTCATCTAAAAATTCAGTTATCATCTTCAAGACAAAACTTTGCATCCCTGTTTACAATGACGATGATTATTACAACTGCAAAGTCGTTCTTAGCAGACCTATTTATTGATCACCGTATGGGGATGTGAAGGTGTAGCTTCCTTGTGTTTTAAGGGATGCACTCTGTTGGGTGTTGAACGTTAGATTGACACTCAGTCGACACAATTTTTGATTATACTCTTAATGTTTATTGTTGTGTAGACGGACTGTAAACCTAATAGCTCCCTTGATCTTATCCCTCTAATAATACGTGGTAAATTCATGCCATTGTCTCTTTATAAATACTAATACTTATAATTTGTGAACCAAACAATGATCACACAAATATTTTGTGTGCGTAGTGCCTAGATACTAAACGCTGAAGGAAGTATCAGGTCTGTACATAGTTACTGCAGCCAGTTATCATCTCCGTATTCCGAAACCGAAACGAAGCTCTGTACTGCTGTTCGCTGTTTGCGCTATCGTCGATTAGCAACACATCCCACCCCAAATTCGCAATTCCCATGTCTTCTGTCACCGTAGCGCGGATTATTCTCGTATTTATGTGAGGAAGATGTTAGGTTCGCCGATTTGATTTGAACCATATGCCTCTTATGCAGGGACTGGCATGAAAAAAGGGGAAACTCAGCGTCCAATGCGGTGTTCATCAATTTCCGGTTCACGCCACCTCAATCATTAAAAGTCTCGTGCCCCTTTCTTGAAGACCAGAATCCAGTTTGGAAGGTCACGACCCAGGTCAGTCCTATGCTCTAACGTCCGTCAGGTCTACACGGTCGTCCCTTTTCGAGCCGTCAGCAGGAGTACATCCAGCTTAGGCTTTCATTTAACGACACTGTATTCTACTGCAAAGCTCACATAGTTTGATTCAATTCAGAATGTACGTAATACCAAAAACGTTGTAGTATTCGTTAAAGGGCCTCTTTTGACGACAGCACGGATTTCGACAGTCTTCATAAAGCAACAACCGTTACACTCTTCGAATTTCACCAAACATGACGCATATCCTGAAAATCACAATATTTTTCGTTTCATGCATATAATGAATTATTTTGTGGATTGTGTTTATTTTTAGACCTGAAAGTGATAAATTATGACTTGTATTACAATTATTCGATCGTCAGATCATTTTGCAAAGATATTTCAGCTACAGACCCTGGAAAAACAAACCCCAACTTCCAATTCATATCCGAGTCGTTTTCTGACTGGCTAACTCGGCCTCTATAAATTAACATATAACTTAATTACCTGCTTTTGTGTACATTACGTGACGGTGTAGATTTACATATCTAGAAATAAAGTGCATAATAGGAAAGCAGATTGGATAGGTCATGTCTGTCGGTCTGTCCGTAACAGGTCTTATCTCCTGAACTGCTCAGATTTCGATGTACTTGAACTGATATAGCATCTTAATCCTTTTGAGGACAGACCGTTCTTACAAAAAGAAAACTGGATACAGCATAGTATAAAATAATAAATATTTTTCAAATTAAAATCTTATTGGTAATTAAGTGTGGGAAGTAGAGCAACCACTTACTGTCACAAACGAAGAAAACGTTTGAACTTAAGTTTCAATCTTTATGAATGGCATTGGCGGAAAATTAAAACATAAAATAATATCCCAATAATCATGACAGCAAACACGTTAGCTACATTCACACACCACCTTAATTCTGTTCATATATCGGAAATCACTGTGGAACCATAAATATAAAGATGTATTTCTTTTTCCAGACGAACGGTGTCTCGCTTGTAACCCAGTGGAGACGTACGAAAACATACTAGACAACTTCTGCAGGGCAGATTTTGGTGAGTATTTCATAGATTTGTAGGATGTAAGTCTGTATTATTATAAATGTGTTTGTATTTCCAAGCTACAAATTTGGTTGTTGCGAATCGTGAGAATAAAGTCGTAAAAGAATAAGGCTATCCACACACCTAGTATTAATTATCTAACACCAGACTTGTCCATGATGGTCTTCTGGGATGTGAGGAAGGTGCGAAAATAATGAATATTAACATGACTTCCTGTATAATTTTGAGTGCAGGAGTAGGGGATTTGCTGAAATTAATTTTGGTTCCATCTAGAGGGAAAACAGGCTATCTGCATCTGATGTTTATATTAATCCAGGTCAAATCAGCTGTTGCTTTTTTGTACAGTTCATAATCGACGTACACCAAACGACTGTCTTATGAATTTTAATTTTAAATCTATAAATAATCTTGACGCAGGTAACTATATACGAGTCTCCACGAAGAAAGTTTATCTGTATTTACATTTTAAATTATAACATACTTTTAAATTTACTAACAAAGTATTCGCAATTTCTAGTGAGAAATTGCTTCTGTTAGTTTGATATTCTGCTATTGTACCCAGTAAATGGTCGATTAACTGTTAATGATAAATGGTAACACACAATAACTTATTCGTTAAAAGTCTTCAGTTAGAATCAATACAAAATGTCAACGTATGAATATTATCAGTTCCGTCTGAAGAAAGTATCACTAATCTTACCTAGTTAAAAAGGCCTGTATGACTATCAAACACAGTAACCTGTACGTTCAAAACATTCTGGTATCTTTAATGATACTTTTATGAGTGTTGGCAACGTAGTTGCAAAAATGCGTCTGTTAGTTTCGTCATGCCTTTGTATCAAAAATAATAACGCACAATTTGAAGGAAGACCCTCAGTCGTTACTTCATGCGGAAGTTACTTGGAATTCAGAGTCAGACAGGTGCCAGACGGCCTGGCCAACCAAAAATATGGGGAATCCCCCGTAATAACATCATAAAACAGCCAGACCGTCACACGCCACTCAAATGCAGTTCACCGCACACAACTCTTACGTCACTAGCATCATTAGAAAAGGTCGAAGATCATAGATCATGCCTTTGCTGAACAAACAGCGTCCTATGACTGCTTAAGATACTTGAAAGGAAGCACCCACGAATTGAAAATATAGTGGCAATAACAGAGCGAACATGCCAGAATTGTTGCAGAATGCGTAACACTTCCTAACTTGTTTTCATTTTCCTAGGTTATGCAATGTCAAATGGTAGGATGATCTGTGTTTGTTTAATAAGTAAAGCTGAGAAAGAAATCAGTCAGTCTATTTTAAGGTACAAAATTTTCTTGGAGAGGCTTCAGAGAATAACTAAACAAGAGTTTTGTTGATTGAGATAAACCATTCTGTATTTTATATACACGTATTTACTTGAGTCTGTGTTACATGACAGAATGACGTTTAAATAATGTACCCCCCACCCCCACCTTTCACCAGTCCAACCGAACCGGTTCTTAACGATTTGGCACCACTCCGGTTCCGTGGATTTAATCCCGCTACGTCCATGTTATCTATCGTGTTTGAAGCTCCACTGATCGCACATGAGTTTTAACTTATTTTACTTAGTGCGAGTATTCAGTCGGTAGTGGGCCCTCTTCTCTTTGAACCAAGACGGCCACAGCGTGAGGCTCACCACCCTTATCTATTTAGTGCCGAGGTACAGAATGCGCGAAACTGTCTCCATTAATTCTTTCTGCCTTTTGGACGCAGTGATTACATTATGTGTCTCATCATTTTCAAATGGCGCAACTTTAAATTCGGTTCATAGCATATCTGACCACACAAAAAACTATGTAACGTTATTATAAATTGTGTTGGTAGTGGGCAAACCCTAGGTATCGGATAATATGTTTTCATACTGCATTATTCTTCACGCCTTTTATTATAATGCATAGAATATGAACCGTTAAAATTTACGGGTAGGATTCATTCTTGTACTGAACAGTAATACAATTTATTGTAATACTTATTTGCAGATAGTACTACAATTTTTTTAAAGTAAATCAAACGTGAAGACAACTTCATTGCTACTACAAATCACCCGCCAAAAAATCCAGTACAAAACCGACCGCCTGGCTACAGCTCCAGACAACCGCCAAACTCATACCCCACCATAGTCTAGGTTACATTTCTTGCTATCAGAGTCGTCGCCGTCAGAGAACTTATTTTCAATTCTTCCGTATTGTTCAGTCGAGCGTGACGGACATTGGCTAATATATTAGGGGTACTTGTTGTTGTTAATGTATTTCGTGATCTTCTGATCATTGTATTATTGTCATTTGTAGGTGCATGTCCGTCATTTCTTGGAGCAGATACACATTTATTGTCCTGAAATGCTCAGAAGGAATTGTTTTGATTTTCAACGCAGATACTGTTATACTGTTTCCGGTGTTTGTCAGTAGAGTTTTAAACGTTCCCATTGGATACAAATAATAAAATAAATCAAATTTATAGCAAGTAGCAGAAAGATGTAGATAGATAGAGGGCAGATAAGTTGAATTTGACGTTATAAACTGAATCACGAATAGCTGCTGATACTGAAGTATATCGCCAAAATATTTACGTGACCCTGTCATGTGACTGTGACATCAAAATGCAGTCTTACTCCCTGGTTACCGCTGCCAAAGAGTTGTAACTGGGAAAGGTTTTCCAGACCCATTTTAATATGGTGTATAGAACTCACCCGTATGTTCATACCAGGCATTTAAGTTACACTATGCAGAGACTATATTATTAATTTGTGTGCAGAACCAGGCTGATTATGTATTCGAAATTCGAATTTTTGCGCCGGTGAAACGTATGATAGTCGAAAAGATACGAAAACTTTTTATACCTGAAGATGACTTTTGTAGGGGATATTACGCCCTATAGTCTGGTAGAAGTTCACCGACTTTTCAGACAGTAAGAACCTTTTAAACATCGGTAATATTCTACCAGACTATACAACATCCTGAAAAACTTTCACTTTCATATCGCAGCAAAGGAATCTCATTTCTGCACTTAATCATGCCGCTCGCGCCATCTGTTACAAGCAAATCAACTGGTATTTAACGTAGGTGATGTGCTGCCACCTATACGTGGCATGTTGAAATAGCACAGTCCATAAGGAAAATTAGATAATTATAGGCACCAGGAGGGGACACTGGTTTGAAACGTCACGACATACAAAACTTTTCTGATGAACTAATATTAAACGTTACAGAACGTGATTTTATCATAAGCAACATATAAGGAACTAAACATAAACCAGAAATTTAACACAATAAAAACAGCACCTTCCTGTTAGTAATAAAGGAAAACACATTCAGATAATCGAGTTACAACTACAATGAACGCTAACTTCATAATGAAGTATGCGAGTTAAAAAAATCGAGCATTAACAAGTAAATATAAATACCTGCTGTTCTTTAATCCGAACTTGGCTGCACTTGTTTTCCACGTCATCTTCTAAACACCGATCGAAGCAATTAGTATCATGACTAGATTTTCAGTCTTCATAGAATATCTGCTTCAATGAAATTGTCACAAATCTTAGGCTTTGATGCTGGACAAAACTATGGCCGTGAAATCTTAAGAGGAACACCAGAAAATAGCACTTTTGCACACAAAGCTTGAAAACCGCGCTCTTACAAAACGCCATCTTTCACTGGAGCTGGAGCAAATGTGACCAACCTAACGGCGTGACACTTAAAACCAATCAATAAATACAATTGTAGATAGTACAGGTCTGTCATTCTAGACTAATTTCCCCTAGAAGAGTATTCTTCAACCTTCACGTAACCAACCCTTTGGGTTAAATTTCAGAACAAATTCTTAAAGTATGAACCCTTTGTCTATTGCAAGGCTTCTCATATAGAAAATTCATGTTTAAACTTTATATTTTTTTTCTACAATAGATTAGGTTCACTCTGTTCCTAATTATCTTTCCATTCCCCCCTCAATCCTTTCCAAACTATCTCTTTACTGTGGATTTTATAACTAATGTCAGCCAATTAAGAATGCATGGAGCTATACCTCCAGTACCTCATGTCTTCATGTCACGGCAATGAAACGTGGACAAATTTACTTATTTCCATATGTATCTGATAGATTAGTGGTTCATAAGCGCAAATTAGGGTAATTATAATGTGAATAATATAAATCTGATTGAAAATTCCTACTTCAGGTTATCCCCAAAGAGTATATTTTATTTATGGTGCTAAGCACAGGGACAACTTAAAAGTTTATAACCTATGATAGCTCAGGCAGTATAGTGACTGGCTATGGGCTAGAGAATTGGGATTCAATTACAAGCAGAGGCAGGAATTTTTTTTTTGCCACCAAATCTAGACCAACTCTGGGGTCCAACCACTCTCTTATCCAATGGATACTGCATACCTTTTTACAGGTACAAAGGACTGTGAAGCTCACCACTCACCTCTGTACAGTGCTAAGGTAAAGAATATGTGTGGCTTTCTCGTAATTCCTTTTACAGCTTCATGATGTAGTGTTTAATTAAACACAAGGACATCTTCATTGTAAAATTTATCTTCTCCCTTTACTGGTGTCTACATTCTTATAACCAGTGGATATGCCATTTTTTTATTAAATGACAATTTCATGAAATAATGTAAACTGAAGGATCTCATTTTGTGTGTAGCTGTGAAGACAAAAATACGACGAGCTAGGAAGATGATGCTGAAGTGTAAAAAGGCAAAAGTTCTGAAGGGAAGCAGTGAACTGTCAAAACAGTTGCCTCATCCAGTTCTGCTCTTGGAATCATCTGATGCCTGCTGCGAAGAGAAGACACGTAATAGTCGAGAAGTTTACCTCATCATGGGGCGCATACGTGGTGATGCAAAACTTGTTCCCACCTTCATAATGCCATGGGGGAAAAGTTCCAAAGTATGTACATATGCTAGTAAATGCTAGTTAGTAACTTCATAAGCACATAACATAAATTATGTCAATCAGGTACAGTAGCTGGATCCAAACTGTGTATTTCACCTAATTCACTTCCTTGCAGATTGAAGGAAAACAAATGCATATATTATGTAAGCCTAAAACAGATTATGGTACAGATCCTACATCTGCATTCCAGCAAAGTTTCTTCCTGGTTTTGTTACATTAGATATGTTCAGTTTATTTTAGTATTCATTCCATAACCATCAACAATACATTATTTAAAGACCATAAGATACAAATCAAAGCTCAAATAAAATTATTCAATTTTTTTTAAATACAATACAAAATGGGAACCACTTATCACACCAGCATACCTCTAAAGCAGCTGTTGGAAACCTTTGGCCCTCACAGTATGTGGCCTGTCGCAAGGTTTGGGAATTGGCCAATACCAGAAAGAAAAAATTTATTTTTCTGAGGTCACCACTACCACTGTTCTAATTTTCTTAGTGTCAACTTATGAAACATGTAAAATTCAGTCTGATCTGTTTATATATTTATAGTTTGTATTCACAGTTTTTTAAGCAACATTTTGTTACTGGTATTTATTTTCAGTTACATACATCAGTATATACGTATTTTCTATTTGGTCATGAAACTGGAGATTTGAAAGGCACTGATCCTGGCATCACAAAATCACGGCAAGATAAATACCATCTACTTAAATAAGTGCCTTTTGTTTACTAATACATAGTTCTGTTTTATTAATTTTAGCCCTTCAGGAAAGCTGTAAGGATGTTTAAGAAGCTGAATTGTTCAGATCCAAAATTGGTATCACATTCAGTAATTGGAGATGCATTTGGCGGAGGCAGCAACAATGGGAATGCAGCAGGTAATACAAATGGTGGTGGAAATGCAAATGCCACTGGGAGAAGGAAGCGTGGTAGAACCAAAGGACGACACAAGAAGACAACGAAACACACGCCCACATCATCACCCTAGCCTTCATCAAGACTGGTAGCATATGTTTGGGTGAATCCTGGTTACATTACAACTGGTACAAAACAAAGCCTAATTATGATGAAGGATGAATGGGTTGAAATTTGATTGGGATACCTTATCCTAGACAAACCAGTTACTACTGTATTAGCTGTACACTTGAAAGGCACTGAAATCATTTCACAGTAATATGCATAATAAGTATTTCTGTTATTAAAAGTTGGATGAAATTATTAAATATTGGTGCCATAATTGAATATGAATGGGAACCTGGCATTCTTAAGAGTGAGACACTGGTCTGTCATTTAGAAGGTTTTGGGTTCCATCCCCAGTCAGGTCTGTGTGTGAATTTTTATGCTCACAGACTGAAGTCTTCACCTCTGACAAAGATAAATTTTTTTTGGATAGATCTGTGTTACTTTTTGATAAAGGTTAAACCGTAGGTCATTTCTGCCAACCAACATACTCATGATAAAAATATCATTTGGAGAAGTAATTGAATCCACCCAATGGGTGACTTCATCTCAGAAGTAGTTTTACACACTTGCCTAGATGGGCAGTCATCAGAAAATATCTCATAGATAACAGTGTATGATGACTTTTCCTGGTCAACAGTCTACATCATTAAATACAGTTGTATTTATGATGTAGGATGGTTGTAACTGATTAATTATTTAATTTAAAATGCTTGCAGTGCTGAACATATACTGTACTTTTATTTTCATGTAGTTTAGCCCTTTGTGCACTATTCAAGTTAACAGCATATTGACATTAATGCTCTTCATATGCTGCGTTTTCATTCATAAAGTGCAGTAGGTGACGTGTGTGCTGTGTTCTAGTGTTAGGCTTGGCAAAGGGATATACATGAGTGCATGTATCTACTGCATGTTAATTTGACTGAAGAGTAATGTGATATTTACCTATGAAAAATAATATGAAGCAGTTTGTTGGATATTGAGTACATTTAAAAATAATTTATATAAATAAGTAATCATTTTGAAAAATACAACTGCTCTGTTTCACAATGTGATGAATTTTACTCTCTTTATAAGGGCACTAGTACACACATAACAACTTGTCACATAGTCGTGATGGCATCATTTTATGTTGGACCGGTTGTAAGATGCTCTCAATGTCCAGAATATTGCAGTGTTGCCAGCATCCAACATTAGAACGGTACTTCCAGGCTTTGTTTTCTGCTGCCTGGATGGATAAAGGATGGCTTTTCAGCAATATAAATTCATCTATAGATGTATATTACAAGTATATTTTTGCAAGTTTAAGAACTATTGAAGCTTTAAAATACTAAGTAGCTTCAGTATGTGTTATTTTGTTGACTGCTTATTTCACTTGTTTCCTAGGAACAATACACACAACCTGGAGACAAAACCAATGTTATAAAATATTTTATAATATATTATAGCATTTCCCTTAACTTAAATGTGGCACAGTTGGAGTATCCACAGTAACATTTGCTGCATTGTGCTGAATAATGCATACATAATAAATGTAAAAGTTTAACTGGTAGGTAGCCATGTGTAAGTTGTTAAAGTGTGTCAAGATGTGTCATTGTGTGTTGTATTCATTGCCTTAAATTAGAACAGCTTTATTGTGTTTACATTTTAATAATAGAATGATTTTAACTGCAGTAATCTAATCAAGATTTGAATTCATGTCAAAATTTTATTTTTGATGTTTGAATTCAAATATTGGTAACCTGTTAGATTTAAATAATGAACTGCAGTACCTTGAATTTAAATGTGATATTGTATTTGAAACTTTAAATGAGTCATTGTTTTTAACATAAATTTGATATATTTGAAGGGCAAAATGTCAGGTTTGGAATCCCTGTTTATGTACAGAAAATAACATTCATTAACACATAGCTCCAACCATCAGGAACAGGAATTAATTGCAATTCCTATTCCATAGGTTGCTGTCTGAAACGAGGTACTCACCTCCAAATTTCTGATCATAAAAATCACAATGGTGGTTTTGTAAATAAGTAATTTTAATTTGTGATGTACATAAATGTATTCTTTTTGACTTACTTTGTACATATTTATGAATTTAATATTCATAATCATATACATATATATAACATAAAGCAAAAACAGTTTATGCATTATTTTTTTATTTGGTGGACATATCCTTACACATACTATGGACATGATAACCAGCAGTTCTGGAAAAATTCTAATGCAATTTAATTTGAGTTTCTATTGTTATTGTTAAAACTCATGATCACTGAACCAAATGTCAAAACTATGTGATCATTACTTCATGTCTTGGAGCTTCCTGGGTCCAAATTTTGGCCCTGAGACCAGCTTTCCTGACTGAGGTTTTCCATATTTCCCTCAGTCCTTCCAGGCAGATGTCAGGATAGTACCTTCCATTAGGCCACAACTGCTTTGTCTCCCATATCCTTTCCAATCCATTATTCATACTTTTTCTTCACCAATCTACTGTCAGCACCTGTTAAGTTAAAATATTGAGTGAGTTGTTTGAACCATTGAGTAATAATTTTGACCAACCTCATCAAATGGAAAATGTGGGCCAGGTAGGTATGTGACAAGCAAACAACAGATAATTTACAATTTATAAAATATAACAACTAAAATTATAGGCTATTTCCCAAACAACTTTATTTTTAATATCTGAGAAGCCATACGCTAAAGTTGTGCACAATTTAAACTCGTGTGGAATTCTGGTAATGAAGGGGTGCTTATATTTAGAAAAATAATAAGGATTTGATATTACTCACGTACTTATATTCTTTTATAGTACAAAGTTTATACAAATAAACAACCGAATGACTCCTGGAATAAGGAGTCCCCCTTTACCTGCTAACGGCCTCTTGTTAAGAGGGCAGAGGAGTGGGTAGAGGTCCAGGGCACCCTCTTGACCTTGGGGAAGGAAACTGCCCCTAAAGGCGGAGAAATCAGGAATGATCAACGGCATGAAGATGCAGAAGGCAATGCGAAATCACTGCATTAAAGACCCAAAGGGTATCCTCATAACATGTGGTCCTTTAATGGCTCCCTCCTGGGTAAAATGTTATGGAGGTAAAATAGTCCGCCGTTCGGATCTCCAGGGTGGGACTACTCAGAAGGAGGCCATCAAAAGGGATAGCAAAATGGATAAAACTAACATTATCCGAGTCGGAGCATGGAATGTTAGGAGTTTGAATAGGGTTGGGAAGCTGGAAAATTTAAAGAAAGAAATGAATAAGTTGAAATTGGATTTAATGGGGATAAGTGAGGTAAAATGGAAAGACGAACAAGATTCCTGGTCAGGGGACTACAGAGTTATAAACACATCCTATGGGGGATGAAGAAACTAGAAGGTTATTCAATCTGGTGTCCAAAATCTATGAGTCTGGAGAAATACCATCAGACTTCCAAAAGAGCATTATCTTCACACCTTCTAAGAAAGCAAGCGCAGACAAATGTGAGAACTACTGCACAATTAGCTTGATATCTCATGCATAAAAATTATTAACTAGAATAATATACAGAAGAATAGAAAGGAAAGTTGAAGAGGCACTAGATGACTACAGAAAGTTTTTGGAATGTACACAAAAATGAAACAATTTCCAAGTTCAATGGACTGAATTCTGCCAACAAAATTCACTCGAATTCGAATTAATGACCCATTGAAAACGAAAGACATACATATTCGGTTATCAGGTTATTGATAATACCATCTAATAATCATTTGTAAGATTTGAGGTTTTCACAGCGGTGAGTATGAATATTCATCACCCTGATGACGGAGGCAGTATGACCTCTGAAACGTTGGTAAACATCGACCAGACTACACAGCGCAACAACCCAGAAGACAGAAATCGAATAAATATTTGATTGTTTTCAAATATCGAGTATCGATAATACTATAGAATAAATATTAAGTAATATCAAAATACCAAGTATCGATAATATTAATCGAATTAATAATCGATAGATAAAATGTGTAATCGAGTAAATGTGTATCGGAGAAGTAATCGACATATATTCAAATATCGAGTATCGATAATATTATCGAATAAATATTCGTAACATTAAATTTTCGAGTATCGATAAGGTCAATTAATCAATATTCGGTAATAATCGATAGTGTGATCGAATGCTATCGATTAGAACATTTGTTGAATAAATAATCGGAAATATTGTATAGTACTATCGAATCAAATATTTATTTGATAGTATGAGTTAGTAATAATGACAATTCGCGTACCATAAATTGCTGGAAATTGAAGATGAATTTGTGGCATGCAGTTCGCTTTCTTAGCTATATCTGATTGAGAGATGCATAAATTAATACACATTGCACATGCAAATCTATGCTGTATCGATTAATCGAGCATTCTACATTATGAACATGGCATTGAAACGACATCTGATGGATAAACGTGGAACAAGAGAAGGAAAGTAAGATGTTTGTAATAAACTTTCTTTTCTAGGAATATATGTGACAGTGACATTGAGATATTTATGGCAACATATTTACTTGGATACAAGTGTCCTACGTAATTGGTGTGAAGATAATCGGGATGCCAGTTGATATCAACAGATTGACAGAAGGATGGCTCGAGCTGGAAAGTGATCCAGGTACATCGTAATATTTGTGTATTTTAACGATTTTGACATTAGATTCCCGAATTAATAATTCAAGCATAATCATTTTCAGTTTTACTTAATGAGAGCGGTTATTTTTTCGATGAGAAGACTATGTTGCTCAGTGTATTTATGATAAGTCGTTTTTATTACGTAATGACATGATACCGTTAACTCTTATTTGACATTTAATGAGAAAGCACCAAATAAAATGCCAGTTCTAGAAAAATGCTGCTTTCAATAGCATTATTTACAATGGTTGAATGGTAGTGAAGTGCCTCTAAAGAAATTGGTGTGGTAGAGATTTTATGCACATCACACAAAATAGGCTCCAGTTCCCAATTTTTGTTTCTGCAGTATTAGAATTTTGGGTTCCACAGTACCAGGGAGTTAGAATTTGTTAGGATGTTAAGTTTTGTTTTAAAAAATAACTGAGTTTTTTTTATTTTTTTCAGGGTTATTTACATTGCTTTTAGAAGATTTTGGAGTAAAAGGTGTGCAGGTGGAAGAAATTTATGATCTCCAGAAGTCTATTGAAGGCCCAGTGTATGGATTTATTTTTTTGTTTCGTTGGATTGAAGAAAGACGTTCTCGAAGGAAGGTTGTAGACCAAAGTGAAAGTTTTGTCAAGGATGAAGATGTTGTCAATAATATATTTTTTGCTCAGCAGGTAACTTTGAAATTGTATATTAATACTGTTGTTATATAAAGTTTAAGAAAATGCTCTTCAGGCAGTCACCACCCTTACTAATATTTACTTCCACAGAAAGAGTTTGTAAAGTGAAATTTCATAAAGTAAGTTGCTATTTGCTGTAAGTGCAACATAATTGTATTACATTTCTGAACAACCACAAATTTATTGTCAACAATTTTATTGCCTTCAATGAAATTTACAAGCAGCAAAAACATTTTTAGATTGTTACATATGGTATATGAATGCAAAATATTTGTCAAAAATAGAACATCTTTAACAAGTTGCGTACCAAAGCAGAGTGTAAAGTAAATTGTACTTCCCCAGGTAGTCTTGCATAGTTTGTTTGCATATTTGTTAAAGTAATGCAAAGTAATGTGTGACATCAACATACAAATGTTATAACTTGAAAATGGTGGCAAATCAGAAAAAGCTTTATTTACATTTTCTGCTCTAAATGGTCTTCCCAACAACCTTCTTAAGTATTGTATTAGAGTTCTGAGTCACTCTCTGTACTGAATTCCAAGTCGATTGATTATTTATTGTGTTTTTTATCAAGAATTCTAGGAAAGGTACAGATGTGGCTGTTGTATGAGGGTCGCTCATTAAATAATGCCCCACATTTTTTTCTCAGCCAATAATGAAGATAGAAAAGTGTACTTTTACACGCTTGAGATTTGATGTTTCTCGCGTTCGTGTATGGAGTTTCAAATGATTCCAACCGATGGCGGAGCTGTAGTGAACTGTTAAAATGGCGTCTGTGAACGACTCTCGTTACAAGCAACGAGCTGTAATTGAATTCTTTGTTGCTGAAAAAGAAACTGTGGTGAACATTCATAAACGTTTGTGTGCTGTGTATGGAAGCTGTGCAGTCGATAGGAGCACCGTTGGTCGCTGGGCTAAGAGAGTTAAAGCTTCAGGAAGTGAAGAAACCGAGCTCCGTGATCTGCCGCGCTCT